CCCCCCCCCCTCTCCCTTTTTCATTGTCTTTCTCTCTCTATCTGCCTCATCTCTCTCTCTCCTCTCTCCAGGTCCACCGCACCAAAACCTAAAAAGGGTCCAGTTGCGCTGGTACCACAAAAGAAAGCTGCCTACAAGATGACTGAGAAGGAGGTATATATTATTTTAACCCCTGTAATCAGGACACTAATTGAAATGGGTGACATGTCCTTTATAGAACGTTTCTGAGGAAAAGCTGGGAGGTCCCTTGTTTTCAGATTGTTCTACTACTATAATCATATGTTCTAATTAATGCACAAATGTTGCACTCTCAAATACTCTCAGGTTATTAGTCACGACACGCGAAGGTTCACCTTTGAACTTCCATCACCTCAACACGTCCTCGGACTGCCAGTTGGTAAAGGATCTTTCCGATGATTTATTTTTGCATTTAGTGCATAATATTTGCTACTTTGTTGTGATGTTGATAAATGCATAAACAATTTAGATGAAAATTTATGTGCTTTATCATTCAGTGCTCCCTCCTTTTTATCTTGTGTGCAATTGGGTTTTTAGACAAGAAACTGGGAGGTTTTTTAAAGAAATGTGGCAGTGTGTAATGGTAAAATTTAGAAAAATGTTCCTTTAAAATGAAAACCTTAATTGCTTCTTGCACTGGGCCCTATAGTTATTTCTACTCTTTATTAACATTTCTAATTTAGCCCTTGCGTGCTTCCCTGTAAGTTTTTCCTTCTATCCCTCTTTCTGTCCCAGGTAATCACATGTACCGAGTGCCCATAGATGGTAAGTTGGATCTAAACCGTACACTCGGTCACCTCCGACGACGAACAGGATACTTTAAATTAATCATCAAAACTCAGTGTAATGATACAGTGACCTCCTCTCAATCCAACACCAATGGGAGAGAAGAAATGTCTGTACTTAGTGATGTGTCCCTACTAAGTGCATCAAGAACGTTCTTGGGGAAAAAAAGGTGTCCTTATTTCAGCGGTTAAATTGCACGCAAGAACTGTTCTTGGGGGGAAAAAGGTGTCCTTATTAGAGAGGTGTCCTTATTTCAGGGGTGTCCTTAGAGATGAGTTCCACTGTATAATAAAAAACATATCCCTGAAGTTGAGAAATCTTGTGGTTAAGTGACTATTCATCGCTGTTCACATAGGTCTCTTTGCTAATGTCCACCCGAACATTTGTCCAGAAGGTGGGCACAGGTACACAGTATCTTGGTTTAGCACATTCGCATCAAGGTATATACTGAGGACAGAGTTTGTTGTACACAGGTCAACTCGAGCACGGTTCTTAAGACGGTGCGACAGTGCGTGTAAAAAAATCATCTCGAATCCTGGTCCCTCGATACAATTGTCCTAGCCTACAAAATTTGCAAATAAAACTTGTATGGATGGCTAAAAAAATATGTTCTTCGTTCAACGGTGTTGTTTTGTTTTGTGGGCAGGTTGGTGATACCATCGACATTACTGGTCCGGCCGGGAAAGTAATCTATTTGGGGCGTGGCTACATCCGCGTCAAGTATCCAGGGAAAGCGGAGCAGATAAGATTTGCGACTGATATCGGACTAATCGCTGGAGGAACAGGTGCGAGATATAATATACTCAAGAGAGATGAGGGTGAGAGATGGGATGAATGCTAAGTGAATTACGTACACCATTAGTTGGAAACATTTGTTCATTTGCTCACAGTTTCAAATCTGGGTATATATAGTGATTTTTCGAGCTGTTTTTTGGAGGGGAAATGTGCAAGAAATTTGGGTGGATAAACTTATTGTTTCACGTTTTCTCGTTTTCTTTAATTCCTTCCTGCCCTCACACGCACACACACACACACACACACAGGCATCACTCCAATGCTCCAGATCATAAAGGCCATCCTCAAGGATCAGTCTGACACCACGCGAGTCTCCCTCCTCTTTGCCAACCAGTCGGAGAACGACATCCTGGTGAGGGAGGAGCTGGAAGAGATGGCAGAGAAACACGACCAGTTCTCTCTTTGGTACACTCTGGACAGACCTCCCGAGAGTGAGGTTTCAGGAGATATGACATTACATAATGGCTAAATTTAGATATGTTACTAAAGATAGAACTAAGCTATAGAGCCTAGATTGCAAGTTTCTAAATTTGACCACAGTCCCTTTAACAATTGAACCCCTCTAATCCAGACACCAGAAAGTGTCCATATTAGTGAGACGTCCTTATTTCAGGAATTAAATCATACAGTAATTACACAAATTATTTGTTGTTTTCATGCCTCTTTATTTCCAGCCCCAACGTTCAATCAATTGCCTCACTTCACCGTTTCCTCCCTCCCTCTCTTCCCCTCTCTCCTTCTTCCTATAATACTATCTCCATTATCTCAGATTGGTCATATGGTTCAGGGTTTGTTAGTGGGGAAATGATTTCCGCCCACCTCCCTCTTCCTGGACCCACCTCTCAGATCCTCATGTGTGGACCTCCACCCATGATCAAGTTTGCCTGTCTCCCCAACCTAGAGAAACTGGGCTTTAGTGAAGACATGTATGTCCCCTTCTAAGACAAAGGGCTGTTTTCTGCATATATTATAATGCTATTTTCGGGTATAATTATATGTGCTGGCACACGTATGCACTTCTGCTGAGCTGCGATATAAACACCAATATTCTATTGTAGGATGGGCTGCTGATAACAATTTAGGCCGACCACTTTAATTAATCGTGAATTTGCCCAACTGGCATAATGACTGGTGATAAATTTCGGCATTACGTTATAATTAGTCTGTTACCACCCAGCCAAGGACACCCACTGAGCAGTCAAAACACATGAATTTCTGGACTGAATATCAGGATTCATGAGCCGAGCATAGTAATAACTCTAATATGTTTGCACCTGAGTGACAATTTCTTACCTGCATAGGCGTGCTATTATAGGTAGCAAACCAGAGGCTGCACCAATTCTTCCTATTTTGAATGCATAAAACATGCTACTAGTATGTAGGTGGCAAACACATGCACAAGCTGGTTTCCCATAGTACCCACTGTTCTCTCCTGGACTGGTGGGTGCTGTAAACCTGTGTTTGCAGACTATGTGACACTGTCTCACCACCACACCCTCTTTTTTTAGCACATCATGGGGCTAAGTCACACATCATGGATATTAACAGACTACAATACACATCCGTCAGTGAATACTCTTGACATATATAGAGATAGTAGAGCTCTATTGTACATGCTCTTGGGTGTTACACGTAAGGTTAGACGCGCTCAGACCAAAATCACACCCCAGGTCGCGGAAGCCGCTGAAATACAAACTGCCACAGCATCTGAGCTTCATCAAAGTCCGGGACCCCATTTCCCACTCTACCAGCAAACATGCACACCGGAGCCGCGGGAACTAGCTACGCGATTTAGTGCGAGCCGAGGAGCCCTGTAGCTGTCGGCGTCCCAAGCGCAGCGAGGGCGCTACCAAGGGCTCCGAGGATCACTAAATTACGTAGTTTCTCAAGGCGACGCGTCTAACCGGCTTAAACTACAGCGCAAGTCCGTCCCGCTGCAGTGTCCGTTGTAGGCGTTGCTGCCCTTCGGGATCGCGCCGCCCGGCCGTTTGCACACGTTTTTCCCTGCACGCTTTTTCTAGCGTCTTTCTAGCTCTCTAGTAGTCATGCGCTGCTAGAAGAGCCTGTTCCTGGTTTGTTCGTGGGAAGAACAGCTCCAGAAGCTCGGTTTGCCGTCCGTGTCTTTTCGAATTGAAGGCGTGGTTGCCGGGGCTACGAATAGTTACCGCGAAGAGGTAACTAGTTACCGCTAAACTCGCAATCTGATTGGTGAATTACGTGTTACCGTAATCTAAAATATTATAGTTACCGCGGAAGAGGAAATTAATTACCGCTAAATTCGCAATCTGATTGGTCAATTGCGTATTACCGCAGTCTAAGTTTATACTTACATAATACGTCTCTATTGCGGGGTATTAAGTTTATACGCACGCGCAATCGGCAATATACGCAAGCTCGAGATTATGCCCCGGTTTGCGTAGGAGCTAATATAGACTACGTGAAATGGCTGCTCAACAACGACAAGCCCGTGGTGGGTATTCAAGGAAGACGACAATCCGTGTCCGATTTGTACAAACAGATTTCACCCACATCCTTGACTCGGACGGAGAATAGGTCCTGATGCACAGGAGTGTGGTTCACACACAATAACGACGGCTGTGGTGGAGGGGCAACTTGGAGAATACGAACAGCACCTGAGATGGATCAATACCGTCTCCAGATAACCAGAACCAGCTGACTGGGTGTTCAGTTTGTAGCGGTAGAGTGTGAGCATGGTGTGGGATTGTGGTTCAGCGTCACGCATCGCTTCCCACCAAAAGGGGCGTGTCCAAGCGACCTTACTCTGTGAATACTGCCAGCGAACATGATCACTTTTGAGATGTGACTAAAAACACTAACCTCAGTGTGTCAAGTATCCAGTTGCCTGCCCTAACAAATGTCGAGACGCTCCCAGTGCAAGCGCAGAATTGAAGAACCACGTGAAACGACTGAATGTCCCTCACTAGAAGTCGCTGCCCACTCCACTAAAACGATCGAAAACCCGGTTGTGAGGAGACGCTACTGCGTCGAAAGACATGCCTGAGCACATGGCAGACACTGTCACACACATCTGACAACTTCGTCTACCTTTACCCAGAGCCCTCCTTAAAGAGAATCAGGAAGGTACGTCAACCACTGAGGACCTCAAAACAGAGAAGCGGAACTGCCGTCAATAAAAACAGAAGCTACAGAAGAAAGAAGGTTGAAATCCTTAGAGAGGAAACACACCAATGAAGTCTCCTTCGGGATTATTCCCTATTGATTTACCACGTGAAGTATACAAGGACAAGGAAGATATAATCATTTACCTTCCTTTTAACAAACAAACCCACGCGTCTGGCTACCAAATGTGCTTCAATTTTATCCATGGGTTACCGGAGATGGTAAAGGACCTCATGTATCATTTTCACACAGCGAATTGAAGGTCCATCGACGACCACCTGATGGGCCGTTCAGAGGAGAGATAACTGTCGCAGATAGTCAACCAGGCTGGAGACCACAGCCACGTCGAGAGGACCCTCTCCTACAATGATGAGACACCAGATGACACACGCTGGAGAGTGACTGACAAGGAGAGTGCTAACGATGGGGTTTAATTCCTAGCTCACACTGATCTGAGTACATGCTGCAAGAAAACCCAATACTTGAAGACGGATCATCATAGTCAGAGTTGTGACGTTATAATCACCCAATGATAGTTATAAAATTTCTCTGCATAGATGATTATAATTGCACATACTGTTATGCTGTATGGTTTATATAATTATGGCTTGTATATATCAATGGGTGCACTGCGAACAGCAAAAGCGATAATTATCAACTTCCACTAATTCTACAAAAATACCACACTTCAGTTAAAACTCTTTACTGCATGATGTGATAATAAAGCACAGGGTAGTAAGAGTCACATGATGGTCACATGACATGATGTAATGGTCACATGACCAGAGGTCACCTTCATCCTCATCATCTCCAATCTCACTAGGAGGTCGCGATGGAGGCTCACTCAGGGGGCGAGGATATCGGAACCCCTGGGAATTAATAAAGATGTCATTATTAACACAATCAAGATGACATCATCAAAAATGGATCCTGATTGGTGAGGTGTCCTTATTTCAGGAGTGTCCGTCCTTAGAGAGGAGCTCTATCCAAGGCAATTATGACATCATAGTCTTACAGGAGTGGAAGAAGTGGGCGTGGCACTTCAGGAGCCACGCCTCTTACTGCTGTAGTACTCTGGATGAGTGGTCTCCAGGGCTCTGCGTCTGGCTGTGCGATAGTACTGAGGAAGAGAGGAAGGGGGAGAGGGTGGGAGGAAGGAAGGGGGAGAGGGGGAGAAGAGAAGCAAACGATAAATTTTACTATTATAGAGAAACTTTTCTAGCGGACGAATGCGAGTGTCAAATCTCAGAGCCTACTGCGCACATTTTATTGGTTGTGTAGTGAGCACAATGAGGTGGTAACTGGTTTTGTATTATAAACAAGCAGGTGGACTTGCTTCAGTTGGCATGTTATAAATATTCTATTAGACGAGAGAAGCAGGAGAAGAAACAGACCTGTCCCTGAGTTTGCCAGTCGAGTAGGTCACTGAGTCGCTCAGTTCTGTTCCTCTGAATGATCCTCTGACGTCGTGTCTGACTACAGAACTCAAACATGTACTGGAAATAGGGAGGGGGAGGGAGGGAGGGAGAGGGAGAGCAGGAACGGAAATTGGGAGAGGGAAAAGGGGGAAAAAGCCGAGCAGTCTTTCATTTCATTCACGTACGTATCATAGTTATTTCTTTTGGTTAGGTGGTTGGAAGGGGGAGAGTGCATTACTTATTGTGCTATGCGTAAAGGGTTAATTAAAAATTGGATTCCATGCTCCAACTATAGTCAAAGTAATAGGCATGGTTGGTTTGTCTTTTCGTGCTCCCACGTGCCCACAAAAAATGCAAAATCGTTAAAACCCTTATTGGCGGAATTTGACCACACCCATCCACAATCAAACATAGTTGAGGGCATTCAAGTAAGGGTGGATTCCATGCTCCAACTATAGTCAAAGTAATAGGCATGGTTAGTTTGTCTTTTCGTACTCCCACGTGCCCACAAAAAATGCAAAATCGTTAAAACCCTTATTGGCAGAATTTGACCACACCCAAACATAGTTGAGGGCATTCAAGTAAGGGTGGATTCCATACTCCAACTATAGTCAAAGTAATAGTTTTCTCTTACTATTACGTTCCCACAAAAAATGCAAAACCGTTAATACCCCTTATTGGCGCAATTTTAACGCACCCTGAATGCACAATCTACAATCCAGCTACAATCCTTCTCTCAAACATAGCAATACTTATCACCAGCACACCCTTTTTTTAGCAAGACAACACATTATGAAGCTATGAGGAATTTGTTACAATACACATCGATTCACCAGTGTATACTCTTGACATAGATAGTAGAGCTCTATTGTGCTTGCTCTCGGGTGTGTGCAGCCATTGCGCTGTCTATTCATTTATGCGCATGCGCAAATCGCAATGGGCGGCGCGGTGCAGATCGAGATACGCCCCTTTTTGTGTAGCAACTGCGAAAATGGCTGCTCAGCAACGACGCAAGCTCGTCGGCGGGTATGACTGCGAATTCGTGACTCAGCCACCCGACGCTTTTCAAACAGACTGCCCCATTTGTCTGCAAATCTTGAGAGAGCCGTGCCTCATCAGTTGTCCCTGTGGACAAAAGATCTGCCGCGAGTGCGTGGAGCAAATCAAGGAAGACGACAAGCCGTGTCCGATGTGTAACAAAACAGATTTCACCCACATCCGTGACTACGGACTGGAGAGATATCTGAAGGCCCAGGAGGTGTCGTGCTCACACAAGAACGACGGCTGTGAATGGAGGGGGAAACTTGGAGAATACGAACAGCACCTGAATAGCAATCCATCTCAAGATAACCAGCTGACTGGGTGTCAGTTTGTAGCGGTAGAGTGTGAGCATGGGTGTGGGGATTGGTTCCAGCGTCACCGCATCGCTTCCCACCAAAAGGGGGCGTGTCCCAAGCGACCTTACTCCTGTGAATACTGCCACGAATATGAATCCAATTTTGAAGATGTTAATAAAAAACACTACCCTCAGTGTGTCAAGTATCCAGTTACCTGCCCTAACAAATGTCGAGACGCTCCCTTTGAACGGCAGAATGTGAAGAACCACGTGAAAGATGAATGTCCCCTCACTGAAATCGACTGCCCACTCCACTACGCCGGTTGTGAGGTGAGACTGCTTCGCAAAGACATGCCTGAGCACATGACAGACACTGTCACACATCTGACACTGCTGGCTACCGTTACACAGAGCCTCCTGAAAGAGAATCAGAAACTGCGACAGACAACTGAGGTCCTCAAGAAAGAGAATCAGAAACTGCGACAGACAACTGAGGTCCTCAAGAAAGAGAATCAGAAACTGCGACAGACAACTGAGGTCCTCAAGAAAGAGAATCAGAAACTGCGACAGACAACTGAGGATCTCAAGAAAAAGAATCAGAAGCAGGAGAAAGAAGTTGAAATTCTCAGAGAAGAAATGCACCAAATGAAGGTCATGGTGGGAGTATTCCCTATTGATTTGCATGTAAAGTATGACAAGGACAAGGAAACAATTTATTTACCTTCCTTTTACACCCACTCATCTGGCTACCAAATGTGCATTACCTTTTATTCGAATGGGCACGGAGATGGTAAAGGAACTCATGTATCATTATTCACACATCTAATGCAAGGTCCATACGACGACCACCTGAAATGGCCGTTCAGAGGAGAGATAACGGTCCAGATAGTCAACCAGACTGGAGACCACAGCCACGTCGAGAGGACCATCTCCTACAATGATGAGACACCAGATGACACGGCTGGTAGAGTGACTGACAAGGAGAGTGCTAACGGATGGGGGTTTAATTTCCTAGCTCACACTGATCTGGAGTACAATGCTGCAAAGAAAACCCAATACTTGAAAGACGGAATCATCATAGTCAGAGTTGTTGAAGTTATAATCACCCAATGATAGTTATAAAATTTCTCTGCATAGATGATTATAATTGCACATACTGTTATGCTGTATGGTTTATATAATTATGGCTTGTATATATCAATGGGTGCACTGCGAACAGCAAAAGCGATAATTATTCAACTTCCACTAATTCTTACAAAAATACCACACTTTCAGTTAAAACTCTTTACTGCATGATGTGATAATAAAGCACAGGGTAGTAAGAGTCACATGATGGTCACATGACATGATGTAATGGTCACATGACCAGAGGTCACCTTCATCCTCATCATCTCCAATCTCACTAGGAGGTCGCGATGGAGGCTCACTCAGGGGGCGAGGATATCGGAACCCCTGGGAATTAATAAAGATGTCATTATTAACACAATCAAGATGACATCATCAAAAATGGATCCTGATTGGTGAGGTGTCCTTATTTCAGGAGTGTCCGTCCTTAGAGAGGAGCTCTATCCAAGGCAATTATGACATCATAGTCTTACAGGAGTGGAAGAAGTGGGCGTGGCACTTCCGGAGCCACGCCTCTTACTGCTGTAGTACTCTGGATGAGTGGTCTCCAGGGCACGGCGTCTGGCTGTGCGATAGTACTGAGGAAGAGAGAGTAGGGAGAGGGTGGGAGGAAGGAAGGGGGAGAGGGGGGGAAGAGAAAATGAACAGATAAATTTTACTATTCGAGTGTTAAATCTCAGAGCCTACATTTACTGCTTTACTGCACACATTTTATTGGTTGTGTAGTGAGCACAATGAGGTGGTAACTGGTTTTGTATTATAAACAAGCAGGTGGACTTGTTATAAATATTCTATTAGACGAGAGAAGCAGGAGGAGAAACAGACCTGTCCCAGAGTTTGCCAGTCTAGTAGGTCGCTGAGTCGCTCAGTTCTGTTCCTCTGAATGATCCTCTGACGTCGTGTTTGGCTACAGAACTCAAACATGTACTGGAGATGGGGAGGGAGGGATGAGGGAGGGAGGGAGGAAAGGGAGAGAGAGGCATGAACGGAGATTGGGAAAAGAAAACCGTGCAGTCTTTCATTTCATTTCATATATATAATAGTTGGTTAGGTGGTTGGAAGGGGAGATGCATTACTAATTGTGCTACTGCGTAAAGGGTTAATTAAAATTGGATTCCATGCTCCAATTATAGGCAAAGTAATAGGCATGGTTGGTTTGTCTTTTCGTACTCCCACGTGCCCACAAAAATGCAAAATCGTTAAAACCCCTTCTTGGCGGAATTTGACCACACCCATCCACAATCAACGTACTATTGAGGGCATTCAGTAAGGGTGGATTCCATACTCCAACTATTCAAGTAATAGGGATGGTTGCTTGTCTTCTCTTACTATACGTTCCCACAAAAATGCAAAAACAGTTAACACCCCCTTATTGGCGCAATTTATACCGCACCCTGAATGCACCATCTACATCCAAGCTATACAATCTTCTCTCAAACAAAGCATTTCTCTTACGTTTGCCAGCTGTGGGTGGACTGTCTGCACTCTTGAAACTCGGTCCACGATGTATATGCCCGTACGTGGCGCGGATCGGCGACGTGCTGTGCAATGAAACAGCCGAACCCAGAGAGATTGGTGGTGACAGAACGGTATATACCCTCACAGTAACACTCCGCTGTGAGACAAGAGAGAGAGAGAGAAAGAAGAATTGGGTTTTGTTTCATATGAAAGGGGCTTTGTAATAGTGTTCTAGAGAGGCTCTACATAACTGATGCAGCTCAGCTGGCTGGCTGAATCACTCAGGCAGAGCACTCTGTGTTCTAGAGAGGGCTCTACTCAGCACGGAGCTACTGAGGCAGTTCGGCTGGCTGTTGGATGATCACCCATACAGAGCACGGCAGAGCCCCTGTGTTCTAGACTAGAGGGCTCTACCGAGCGAGACTACTGAGGTGCAGCTCAGCTGGCTGGCTGGGCTGAATCACTCATACACGAGCAAGGCAGAGCACTCTGTGTTCTAGAGAGGCTCTCCCCAACGTGAGCTCCTGCAGCAGGCTCAGCGTGTGGCTGGGCGTGAAATCACTCATACGGAGCACGGCAGAGCGACCTCTGTGGCTTCTACAAGAGAGAGAGCGCTCTACGTACAACTGAGTTTCTACATGAGGCAGCTCGCGACCTGCTGGTGCTGACTCACTCATACCGTAGCAGGCAGAGCACTCTGTTCGTTTCTAGAGAGGGCTCTACC